TAATGCCACAATCCGGAGACAAAGACTGACCCGCACAGAGCAGACAGACCATGAGGATTGCTTAAAATTATGAATTTTGTTAGGAGAAATGATTGGCTACTTCAAATTAGGAAAACTCCGTCACAAATATTTCCGCATCACTGCCGTCACGCCCTCGTCGTGACAGCTTGACCGAGTTTGCTCAGACAGACAACTGCCTGTTCATGACGTATGAGACACGTTCCGATTATGCCCAAAAAAGTGAGCATGTTAACTTCAATGTTCAGTTGCAATTTTTATGAAAAATAAATGTGCTGCCATAAAAGGTATAATTTTGCTCGAAATCGAAATAATTTAACATGGTTTAAGTGTAATTTGCCGTAAAGGAAATGCATTTCACAAACCAAGTAGGGTTACTGACCAATTGCAAGAAATTTACGCTGCAAGCATGAATTTGCTAATCTTATACGACTTTTCCACCATCCCCCAATGATAGCGTAACTGCTCGTACGATTCTGAATATGAGAAATTGGTCGTATCATGGGATAGAAGAATGGCTAGTGGACACAACTTTGCCCATACAGTATACCCTAGCTCAACATTGTTACCCGGCTAGCTTTTTATTTGTTGACGCAAGAAAGCTTTCAGCATGAATGGCATAGCGCTATTTTTACTGGATATCCCTTCTCTTTTTACAAAAGTAACAGTCAGAAATAAGTTATTATTGTGCGAAAAAAATCGAGGTCCACAAAAAATATCCCTTTCATCATCCCCGAAAGACATCACGCTCGGACGATGTAAGCGGGCACGCTTTTGAAACGTCAGCCAAAATACACCTTGGTCCCAGAAGTCGTCTCTTCTTCTTCCTCTTCCAGGGACGACAAAAGGAATATAAGTAATAATATTGTAATTATAATAATAATAATAATTATAAGTAATTATGTTTGCCACCACATTCCCTCCAACCAGGAGGATATACGAATGCCAGTGAATACAATCTAGAAATTGCATTTAAGATGCACAGTGAACTTGCATTTCTTATGTACAACAATCTGTACAGATAATTGGACGGAGCGCAAATGGACTCGCCCGTTTAATCACTTCTTTTGAATATGTTAATGGACAAGATGGAGGCTTTCCGGCTAACTTGCGAAATATACAGTTTGAAAATGGATGTACGATACGTGGATGATTTACCCGTTGTTGCGTCGGAAAACACTGATATTTTAAACTCTAATGTTTACCATGATAATATAATTTACATAAGGGGAAAAGAAATCCAGATCATCCTCTTCGCTGGACGTTCTTCTGATTAGAAGTTACGACAAAAGTGTTCAACCTATTGCCTATCATAAAGCGACGGGTGTGGCTTTTCGAATCAATCAAGCTTGAGCGTAATTTTGTTCGCTTTTTGATATATAGGGCTTAACAGTGTCTGCTTCTCCAATAACAGCATTTTGTTGCATTTAAATGCTTCCCCCTGTCTTGTCAATGGGATTGAGAGCGGAAGCGCTCGCATGCCACAACTAAATTAGAACAATACATTAGAAGCAGAGGCATTATCTTGCAACATTTGAGAGCCGCTTCGACGACGATAAATGCCGTTATAACCGAAGACCTTCTCTATAATCTCGATTAACACCTCGTCGACCGGCGGATCACTTGGTCTTCAAATTCGATTGCCATCCATTAGACGTCAAAACTTCTTGAACGTCGCTGTCCACAAAATGAAAGTCAACGATTAAGAGATTTCAGAGCAAAGA